GGACTGGGGCAGCAGGGGGTGCGGGTGGGGGGGGGAAGAGCCCAGGGCAGGGGCAGCAGAGAGGTGCGGGGGGGAGCCCAGGGCTGGGGGGAGCCAAACATTGTTTTGCTTGGGGCGGCAAAAAACCTAGAGCCGGCCCTGATCAGGAGCTGTTACAGTTTGAACTAAGCCTCTTTATCTGGGGCTATGGCAGATTGATATCCTCTGTGGGATGGGCATTGAAGAGGAGCTGTAGCACATCTTTACCAGTGGGTTACACTAACACACCAATGAGTAGGCCGTAAAGTATCCTAACAGCACCCACCATGGGCAGATCCCCAGCAAGTCTGTATCTTTCTTACCCCTTGGCAACACTTGTCTAATCTGACTAGTCATGATCTGAGGAAACGGCTCCTTACCCAGTGAGATCAGTGTCTCATAATTGTCCTGCATGACGTCCCTGTAGAGGGCTTTCTGACCAGGGTCCAGAAGAGCCCATTCCTCCTTGGAGAAATACACAGCCACCTCTCTGAAGGTCACAAGTTCCTGAAACAACAACTACTAGTACTCTGCTCCAATGAAAACCCCACCAGGTCAGTCACAGGCCCCAGATTGTTCCCTTTGCCCCAGTCTCCAATATGCTGTGTCCTTAAACAACATTTGCAATTGTTCTTCCAAACTGGTTTCTTATTCCTAGTGGTGCCACTTATCACAGATGGCATTATGCCCTTCAAAGACCTGCTGCTCTCCCCTACTTTACAGGAATCAGGCCATGAAACTGTCACTATGGGAATATTGCTCTTTGCTTCCCATCCTCTCACCTCCCTGCTAGAGCTGCTCAGAAAATGGCACTTCCATCCTGTGGGAGATCCCGATAATTAAAACATTTATTTTCACTGGGGTGAACTTTGAAATAGCCAAAGGTTGGGAGCAAAGAAAAGTTTAGAAAAAAAATGTATTTGGAAATGTTGAAATGAAATGTCTTCCTGTTGATTATCCCAACATAAAATGTAAAAAAAAAAATTTTAAAATCAGCATTTCCTCACAGAGAACTTCATTTTTAACTGAACTACATATTTGATGGGAAAATCCAACCAGCTCTTCTGCTTCCCCTTGTCAGCTACAGCGCCCACATTTAGATCTCCACACAGCTGAGAGGGTCAGCCAGAAATTCACCCACGGCTGGAAGCCATCACAGCGGCCCCTGCCCTGCACAGAGAAGCAAGATGCTGCTTCTTGGGCAGTAGCTCCTGGGCACTTTAGAGGGTTAGCTCCTGTCCCACAGATGGGGAATTTTCCATCCCAGCCCAATGCACCTATTCTTAAAACCAAGCCCATATTAACTGGGCCTAGTAGCTTTTAACCCAGTCACACCTCTGTATTTAGTGTGTCTCCTCCCCCTGATCTATCAGAGGAATCCCTGAAAATCTCCTACCTGTTCCAGCTCCACTGCAGCCATTTCCCTTCCCCTGGCAGAATTAAGTGATGTGGAGCACAACACGGATGTTATTCTGCAGCCTGTCAGGGTGAGAAGGGCAATTGGGGAGGTTTCAGAAAGGGCTTTGGTTCTTTTCACACTCCGCTTCCCCCAGTCTCTCTCCCTGCATATGCTTTAAGTTCTGCCAGGTTGAGAAAACAGTTGGTCACTTTATTTCAGCAGACAAGTTCTAAACCATCCACCTCAGGGGTTATTGAAGTAGTTTAAAAAGGAACTAGATAAATTCATGGAGGCTAGGTCCATCAATGGCTATTAGCCAGGATGGGCAGGGATGGTGTCCCTAGCCTCTGTTTGCCAGAAGCTGGGAATGGGTGACAGGGAATGGATCACTTGAAGATAGCCTGGGGGGAGGGATAGCTCAGTGGTTTGAGCGTTGGCCTGCTAAACCCAGGGTTGTGAGTTCAATCCTTGAGGGGGCCATTTGGGGATTTAGTTGGGGATTGATCCTGCTTTGAGCAGGGGGTTGGACTAGATGATCTCCTGAGGTCCCTTCCAACCCTAATAATCTAAGATAGCCATTCAATAATCTAAGATCTAAGATAGCCATTCAAAGCCAGGGGAGCAGAGCGGAGCAGGTTGGGGCTGGGTCACTCCATTTCCCACCGCCCCGTAAGTGCGGGGTCGGGTGGCAGGAAGTGTAGCAACCTGGCCCCAACCTGCTCTGCCGGCTTGTGCGGGGGGGCAGTTTCCCCTCTGCCCCCCAAGCCTGGGGAGAAGATGGAGCGGTGGGGAAGGGGCATGGGATGGGGAAGAGAAGGGGATAGGGGAAGCGGGGGCCCAGCATGCAGACCCCCTTGGCAGAAGCTGGGGCTCCCCTGTTAAGCAGGCCCATCAAACCCTCACCCTGACAAGCCCCACCTCTCCTGCATCTGTACCACCCTGATGAGCCCCCCTAGACACCCTCTCCACTGAGCCCAAACCTCCTACACCTGGACCCCCACCCAAATGAACCCCACCTCTCCTGCACTCAGACACCCCTCTGCTGAGCTCCAACCACTTTCACTTGGTCCCCCCTGGAGACTCCCATTGCCCCTGCACCTGGAACCTCCCTGTGCATCCAGATCCCCCACTGAGCTGCCTGCACCCAGACTGCCCCACACTGAACCCTCTTACCCCCATCTGGATCCCCCCACACTAAGTCCCTCTGCCCTTGGATCCTGCTGCCAGGCTGAGCCTCCCTGCTCACATCTGGTGTGCCTGGCACAAAAGGGGCAGGGCCACAGGGTGTTTCTGTGGCAGGCCTGGCCCTTGTGCTGTGTCAGGTTCAGCCTCACTGCCAAGTCCCTGTCCCTGGGGGGCTGGGGAGGCTGTAGGGTATTCTCCCACCTCCATGCAGTCAGTGGCCTGTGCTCCCCACTGCCATGGTGGAGTTTCCACACTTATTGATTGTAAAAAAATAATTGCAAAATTTTAAAATATTATGCACAGAATTTGATGCAGAATTCCCTCAGGAATATGGGGCACTGTACAGCTGTGATGGTGGGACTGTGAAGGGGGTGCTGGACAGTAGGGGATCTGTGGGTGGGTGAGCTGGGCACGGGGTATTGTGTGCAGGGTGCTGTGCAGTTGTGGGAGGGGGTCTCTGGGCAGGGGGTGCTGAGCATAGAGATCTGTGGGGGAGTTCTCTGGGCGAGGGGGCACTGGGCATAGAGATCTGTGGGGAGGTCTCCGGGCGAGGGGACACTGGGCATAGAGATCTGTGGGGGAGGTCTCTGGGCAAGGGGGCGCTGGACATAAGGGGAGGGCATTGGGCAGTGTGGAAGGGGCACACTGGCAGTAAAGGGTTGGGCAGGCCAGCGTGCATCTAGCAGTTGTGGGTTTGTAAACAGTGCCCTTGTGCTGGGCTGAATGGGGCCACTCCCGCTGCACTGCGCCTCATTGCCCCCAACCGGCCCCTCCCTCTGTGGATCGTCCTCCATCACATGCCCTATTTCCCCAATGGGGGCCCACAAATATGTTTAGTGCTGGGCCCACAAAAAGTTAATCGGGCCCTGGGAGCCGGGAATCTCCCTCCCCACTGATTGCTCCTGCTGCCCCTTCAAGTCTCTATCCCTGTCTCCCTCCCGCCCCCTCCTCTCGGGCTGGGAGACTCGGTCCCTGGCCGGGCCCGAGGCGTTCGCTCTCCCGGAGCTGGCTCGGCTCCTGCAGGAGCTCAGGGGGGCAGAGCGAGGGGCGGGGGTGAGGGAGGGCAGCAGCTCTGGAACTCGCAGACCCCCGCCCCCGGGAGCAGAGCTGGGGCGAGGAGGGGCCGTTGGTGCAGAGTCACTTCCCTGCCCGGCCCCAGCCCGTTCCCCCGGGTCTGTCCCCTCACCTGCAGGCTCCGGCTCAGGGGCTGGTGTCGGCATAGCTCGGGGCTGCCCCAGGGGCCTCCCCAACTGGGCACAGAGGGGGTCTGGGCAGCAGCTGAGCTGATCAGTCCAGGCTTCCTTCCGGGTCGCAACGGAGGCACTCAGCAGCAGCGTCTGACTCAGGAAGCTCAACTCCGGTATGCTGAGTAGACAGAGCGAGCCACATTCCCCTTTCCTTAGCAACAGTCCATGTAACTAAGCAGGCAGGGCTGCAAGGAACAAGGATTTATTCCACATATGGTGAGAGACCGTGTTCCAAGCTCATCCTTGACTGTTCCTCCCCATGCAGCAATATCGGGTAGCCCCCCGCAAGCTAACATCCTCCCACCTCAGAGTCCGTAGACCATCAGCAGTATATACCTTGCTGGAACCTGCTCCTCTTTCTCTGCTCCCACTCATCGTACAACATTTTTTACACTTTACAAACTCATTTATATTTAATTAGCTAATTTGGAAGCCAACAAAACATCCATCCACCCATAGGGCAGATGGGTTCCAGTCCTTAGCCTAGCTGGAGTTGCTTCTGATGGTACACAATCTACTCCAACACTTTTAGGCTTTGTCTAGATGAGGGTTTTGAAGGTGTTAGCTAACACGTGTTAACAGAGTAATGCAGACAAGGCAGTGTGCTTCACTAATCGCTGACAACCAGCCTTGTGTGGGTTGCTCCATAAGAGAAGGGTGAGCAAGTTAAAATGAGGTGCCAAAGGGACATTTGTCCCCTGGATATTCACCCCAGCTGGTGGGGAAACTGAGGCAAAGGACTACTGCCCAAGGCACTGCAGGGGTGGCTGTTATATTTATTAATTCATATAAATATATGGTTGATTTATTGTTGTGTATTCCCAAATTAACACTGTGTTCTGTTTCCCCTTAATATTGTTTTCTTTGTTTTATACATAGATTCAGTGCTTGCCAAAGCAAAGCTAAGGGTGCCCAGGGAGATATTTTGTTTTCCCAAGTTTCTGGGTGAGGGCTTGAGTCATTGTGTTGGTTATTTTTAAGAGGAAACGCTATATATTTGAATCCAGCTTATATCACGAGGCAGAAGGGTTACATTTTGTGCCTTAAAAGCACACTGCCTTGTCTACACTAGCACCTTCCAAATCTTCAGGCCTGTCTACGCTGCAGCAGGAGGCATGATTTGAAGCTTGTGCAGACCTGCTCTAGTTTTAATCAGGTTAGCTTGCTAAAGATTGCAATGAGGACATGGCAGCGGGGGCTACATTAGCGGATATATACCTGGGGCAGCTTGTGCGGAACCCCACACCGCTGTATCCATGCTACACCATTTTTAGTGAGGTTGCTAGGTACTTATACCGCCTCCAGTACTGCAGTAGCTGAGCAGCTCACAATCTTTAATACATGTGTCTTCATAAGGTTGTGAGGTAGGGAAGTACTATTATCCTTGTGTTACAAATTGGGAGCTGAAACACTGGGAAATTAATGCCCAGATCCTCAATGGCATTTAGGTATCAAACTCCTACTGAAATCTGCAGAAGGCCAATGATTTCAATGTGAGTTAGACACCTATATACCTTTGAAGACCTGGGCCAAAGTGATTTATCCAAGTTTGCACAGGCAGCCCGTGGTGGAGCAGGTGGAGGGTCCTAAGCTAGTGCTCTAATCACTGGACCCTCCTTCCTTTCTCATTCTCAGCAGCTATTCTGCCAATACTTAGGCACCTTCTGATCTTTGAGCACCTGCATAGTGCCTGCTATTTAAAGTGTATAAGATCAAGGTCTTCAGTACCCACATGATGTTAGCTGGAGTACAAGGCAGTTCAGTGACTTAGTTTTGTGGCTTCATATACAGCAAGTTAGGGAACTGATGTTCTCAAACCTCTTTCCCATGAGATGGGCAGTGATGGCATCCAGATGCTTTTGCAGCCTAGATGAGAATCAGCAGAAAGAGGAATCACGTGGGTGTTGGGCTTTGATGACCAAGTTCTAGGGGACAAATGCAAGAAGCCTGGGAAACAAGCAGGGAGAACTGGAAGTCCTGGCACAGTCAAGGATGATGTGATTGGAATGACAAAGACTTGGTGGGATAACTCACATTACTGGAGTACTGTCATGGATGCATATAAACTGTTCAGGAAGGACAGGCAGGGCAGAAAAGGTGGGGGAGTTGCATTGTATGTAAGAGAGCAGTATGGCTGCTCAGAACTCCAGTATGAAACTGCAGAAAAACCTGAGTGTCTCTGGATTAAGTTTAGAAGTGTGAGCAACAAGGGTAGTGTCGTGGTGGGAGTCTGCTATAAACCACCAGACCAGGGGGATGAGGTGGACGAGGCTTTCTTCCGGTAACTAACAGAAGTTACTAGATCACAGGCCCTGGTTCTCATGGGGGACTTCAATCACCCCAATATCTGCTGGGAGAGCAATACAGTGGTGCACAGACAATCCAGGAAGTTTTTGGAAAGTAGGGGACAATTTCCTGGTGCAAGTGCTGGAGGAACCAACTAGGGGCAGAGCTCTTCTTGACCTGCTGCTCACAAACAGGGAAGAATTAGTAGGGGAAGCAAAAGTGGATGGAACCTGGGAGCCTGTGACCATGAGATGGTCGAGTTCAGGATCCTGACACAAGGAAGAAAGGAGAGCAGCAGAATACGGACCCTGGACTTCAGAAAAGAAGACTTTGACTCCTTCAGGGAACTGATGGGCAGGATCCCATGGGAGAATAACATGAGGGGGAAAGGAGTCCAGGAGAGCTGGCTGTATTTTAAAGAATCCTTACTGAGGTTGCAGGAACAAACCATCCTGATGTGTAGAAAGAATAGTAAATATGGCAGGCTACCGGCTTGGCTTAACAGTGAAATCCTTGCTGATCTTAAACACAAAAATGAAGCTTATAAGAAGTGGAAGATTGGACAAATGACCAGGAAGGAGTATAAATATTGCTCAGGCATGCAGGAGTGAGATCAGGAAGGCCAGATCACACTTGGAGTTGCAGTTAGCAAGAGATGTTAAGAGTAACAAGAAGGGTTTCTTCAGGTATGTTAGCAACAAGAAAAAAGTCAAGGAAAGTGTGGGCCCCTTACTGAATGAGGGAGGCAACCTAGTGACAGAGGATGTGGAAAAAGCTAATGTACTCAATGCTTTTTTTGCCTCTGTCTTCACAAACAAGGTCAGCTCCCAGACTACTGCACTGGGCAGCACAGCATAGGGAGGAGGTGACCAGCTCTCTGTGGAGAAAAAAGTGGTTCAGGACTATTTAGGAAAACTGGACGAGCACAAGTCCATGGGGTCGGATGTGATTGCAGAGCCGTTGGCCATTATCTTTGAAAACTCATGGCGATCGGGGGAGGTCCCGGATGATTGGAAAAAGGCTAATGTAGTACCCATCTTTAAAAAAGGGAAGAAGGAGGATCCAGGGAACTACAGGCCAGTGAGCCTCACCTCAGTCCCTGGAAAAATCATGGAGCAGGTCCTCAAGGAATCAATTCTGAAGCACTTTGGGGAGAGGAAAGTGCTCAGGAACAGTCAGCATGGATTCACCAAGGGGAAGTCGTGCCTGAGTAACCTAATTGCCTTCTATGATGATATAATTGGCTTTGTGGATGAGGGGAAAGCAGTGGACGTGTTATTCCTTGACCTTAGCAAAGCTTTTGATATGGTATCCCACAGTATTCTTGCCAGCAAGTTAAAGAAGTATGGGCTGGATGAATGGACTATAAGGTGGATAGAAAGCTGGCTAGATCATCGGGCTCAATGGGTAGTGATCAATGGCTCCATGTCTAGTTGGCAGCCGGCATCAAGCAGAGTGCCCCAAGGGTTGATCCTGGGGCCGGTTTTGTTCAATATCTTCATTAATGATCTGGAGGATGGCGTGGACTGCACTCTCAGCAAGTTTGAAGATGACACTAAACTGGGAGGAGTGGTAGAGACACTGGAGGGTAGGGATAGGATACAGAGGGACCTAGACAAATTAGAGGATTGGGCCAAAAGAAATCTGATGAGGTTTAACAAGGACAAGTGCAGAGTCCTGCACTTAGGACAGAAGAATCCCATGCACTGCTACAAACTACGGACTGAATGGCTAGGCAGCAGTTCTGCAGAAAAGGACCTAGGAGTTACAGTGTATTAAAAGCTGGATATGAGTCAACAGTGTGCCTTTGTTGCCAAGAAGACTAACGGCATTTTGGGCTGTATAAATAGGGGCATTGCCAGCAGATCGAGGGACGTGATCATTCCCCTCTATTCGACATTGGTGAGGCCTCATTTGGAGTACTGTGTCCAGTTTTGGGCCCCACACTACAAGAAGGATGTGGAAAAATTGGAAAGAGTCCAGCGGAGGGCAACAAAAATTATTAGGGGGCTGGAGCACATGACTTATGAGGCAAGGCTGAGGGAACTGGGATTATTTAGTCTGCAGAAGAGAAGAATGGGGGGGGATTTGATAGCTGCTTTCAACTATCTGAAAGGGGGTTCCAAAGAGGATGGATCTAGACTGTTCTCAGTGGTAGCAGATGACAGAACAAGGAGTAATGGTCTCAAGTTGCAGTGGGGGAGGTTTAGGTTGTATATTAGGAAAAACCTTTTCACTAGGAGGGTGGTGAAGCACTGGAATGGGTTACCTAGGGAGGTGGTGGAATCTCCATCCTTAGAGGTTTTTAAGGTCAGGCTGGACAAAAGCTCTGGCTGGGATGATTTAGTTGGGGATTGGTCCTGATATTCTATGATTCTATTACTCAGATTTGGCTTCCAACCAGATTTCAAGTCTCACCAGCCATACACCTTGGTAAGAAGGTATTAACCTCCAACTGAAATTTCAGAACTGCTTTCCCTGCAGCGTCCACTAGAGGATGATGATGAATTGCAAAGTTTGTAGATCCAAATTCCATCACAGGCAACATGGTTGAGAACTCTAAGGCCTGGTCTACACTACGGGTTTAGGTCGACTTTAGCAGCGTTAAACCGA